ATTAAAAAAAACCCCACGCTTTATAGGTGGTACTGGCTTGTTTATATCATTTGTCGGAGATACCGGATGTTGGGAAATTTTAACATTGTCATGGAACTGAACCATTTTTGAATTGATACTTTCAAAATATTGCACGGAGCTTGCAAAACCCTTAAATGACCGTCAGCGGCTTCTGTTCTTGTTTAAATCTTTTGGCGAACATGGCAATATCTTTTAAGTTTTTTTAATCGTAAATGTGGGAAACACTTGAAATATTTGACATGTTAGAAATATAATTTATTTATACATACAATGCACTCAGAAATTAACATGAAATTATATTTGTTTTAATTCTTCGCCACCCATACGTACTTCCGTGAGGTCATCAAGAATGATTCACACTAAACAGCACAAGTATGAAAGCATTCTTCACATACAGAACTATCTACTTTACTTAGAGAATAGATCTCTGCTCTGAATGGCCGCCATATTCAAAAGTTTGTATATTGTTTTTTGAAATGTAAGCAGAATAAATACTTCTCAAAGGTATACTTGGTGTTTCGACTAAAATCGTTTATGTAGGACGTAAAATGTCGGTCAACTAGCTTAGTGTCTATTCTCAAGCGGAGCTATTTGCAGACATACAGCGTAAGTTTAGTATGTGCTAATGATGACCGTTTAAAGCGGCAGTATGTCTATGAAAACCAGTATAATCAGGAGTTATTAATGTGCCTTTAAAAATACATTATGTACGATTTCGATAAAGAGCTGCCCATTCTTGATATAATAGTTCCAAAAAAGATAAGGCAACATGAATATATTGAAAATTTCATTTAAATTACTTTTTTGTTAGCCAAGTTATCACTGTTTGTAGTTTTGATAAGATGTGTGCATTGCGTATTTATTATTGTAACTTCACGTTACTGGTATATTCGAGTCTTAGCCTCGCTTCTTTGGTTTTAAACTAAATCATTAAATGGCCGAACCTTCCTAATCTAGTTAAAATCTCGAGCATCCGATGGCATCGAGAGTTGATTAGGGTCTTGTCATGTTAATAAATGTCTAATTAATAATTTATATAACATTTAAGGCCTAAAGAAAGACCTGCAATAGGCATATTGAGCTCTTACATAATGTATCCTTAATGATACTAATTATTGAATATATATGCCCGTCTTCATCAGCCCATTTGGTAAGAATAGTAGGAAGATGAACTCCAATTCATTTCAGATATAATACACACTATAGATATTGATAACCTGGTCATTCTTTATATCTTTATGTAGTTAATGATTATTTAACACTATTTATGCAATAAATATTTATATAACATATAATGATGGGATCTGAAAATAAGCTAGGGCATAAATTAACAAAAATATAAATACATTGTTTAATTATAAAATATATAAGGTTTATTAAACAAATAACCCTTCTCCCAGATATATCGTAATTTAAGCGGTGGACACACTAGCCGAATGATTCGGCCGAATCAATCGGCGTCGAAATTCGCCTAGTGTGTCCACTGTTTGATATATTCGGCCGAATATTTATTCGGGCGAATTATATTCGCCTGGTGTGTCCGCTTCGCCGAAGCATTCGGCCGAATATAGAATTCATTAGCCAATCACCACTCATATCGAGAAGTCACGTGATACAGTGAAGACATAGACGCCGCCATGTTTAATCATGTGACGTGAAAGGTGAGGCAATCGGCAGGTTGAATCGGGCGAAGCATTCGGCTAGTGTGTCCACCCATTCGGCCGAATAAAATTCGGCGCCGATTGATTCGTCCGAATGATTCGGCCGAACGATTCGGCTAATGTGTCCACTGTTTTAGATAGGTACATGCCAATTACAATCTGATTAAAATACAGATCTATATTTCGTTTCGTTTCGTTTCGATTGCCTACACTACATAAAGATCTGACAAGTTGTACTCAAAAGTCGTGCCAGGGTTAGTACGAGCATCTTTTGACCCTATGACATCAGACATTGATTAATCAATCAGCGTTGGCGTTTCTGGTGGTTCACCGTAACAGACCGTTTCATTGGCTTATCCCTCACTTTAACCAAAACGCGGGTTACATAACATCTCTTCCAGATCCTCGCGTAGTAAAGAAAAGTAAAACGAAATTTTGAACTATAAAAAACGAAACAAAATAGGATCTGTGATTTAATCAGATAGCGTGAGTTAATATCCAGAAGGTAGAATGATTAGCGACACGATTATCTAATATTGAGGAAAGGGCGTGCTAACAGACCGCAGTGGCTGAGCGAGTAAAGCTCCGGCTCACTGACCTGTAGTTCTCGGGCTCGGTCCCGTTGTTGGCCGAGAAAGTACCTCGGGGTTTTTCGGGGCGGGTTTCTCCTTGACATTGGTGTAGGACAAAGGATCTGGCTAGGACAGTGTCTAGTCGTTTAGGTTGGGCGAAAACCGAGGTCCTGTGTGCTTATTGGCGTGCACGCAAAGGAACCCTTGACAGTTGGAATTCGAAAAAAGAGTAGGACCATAGCGCGGCTATCCGGGGAAAATTTCCCTTATATGGCCTATGCCCACCTTCATTATCCCAGTAAGTGAAGAAAAGTAGGACGTTTTACACCATTTCATTTCATTTCATTTCATATTCATGAAAACCTTAAAAAACATGTATTTAAAAATATCTGAGGTATAGCGTTCTCATTAAATAAGTAAAACGTAGGCTCAATGTTTAATAAAATAACAGAACGTAGAACGTATTCTCAAATTTATGAAAAACTTGAAAATTAATGCTTGTGTTCCAGAAAACCCTGGAATACATATAGATAAAATTTTAATATAATGTTGTCATTAGAAAAAAGAAACACACATTTTAATCAAAAATAACATGAAATAGGAAGCATGTTCAAATTCCTGAAAACCTTCAAAGTAGAAAATTAAAAAAAATTTGCGATATAGTGTTGTCATTAGAAAATAAAAAGTAAGTAGGCCTGGGGTAATTTTTAATAAAATAACATATACGATAGCTTTAACGCCGTAAAAGCTTTAAAGACAGCCATTGTCACATCTGTTATGTGTTTTTTATTATTAACATTTGTTAGATATCAGGCACAAGAAACAGTTAGCGGTAATGTGTCTAAGTGTTCCACCTTTTTCACTAATATACAAAATGAGTAAATGACGCCTGCTTTAAACGGTTTTTATGACAACAATATGTGCACGTGTTCGTTTTGTATCATATTCACTGACAGAGCTTGCGCTATCTGTGATAAAATCTAAGTTATATATTTTGTGGTGGGGTTGGATGGCCGAATGGTTAGCGCGTGCGCGTTGCATCGTAAGATATGTCATTGAGTCAACTGGCGTGGTTTCGATTCCCCAGCTGTACGTGACAAGGAGTAGGGTCGCCTGTCCAACCTCGTGGATCTTTCCTCCCACTGTTAAAGACTCCTACGCACACAAGCGAATTATGGAAATATAATAGAACCATATGTTAGTCCCGAAATGACCTAGTTTGTGTCGAGTGGACGTTACCCCCCCCCCCCCCTTCTCTTTCTCTTGGCACTTTTGAAAACCATAGATATTCGTCGCCCTTACGCATAGTATGCAATTTCTGTGTCCAATAAGAGGGCGGGGAGAGAATTTGCCCGGGTAGACACTTACATGAATTTCAATCGTTAATGTACATTGATACATATCATCCCAAAAATAACCAATGCTGACATTAGTATTGAACGACTGCATTGGATAATCCTGAAAGTTATTCGGTGCAGAAAAGTTGCCCCATTTCAATTCATTTATGAAAAGTTCTTCTCAAATCTAATTTCCGAAACCCGGGTCCATTCTTATTGTATAATTACTTTATATTTTAATAACAACCACCAAAATAGAAGAAGCTTTCTGTTTATTTTTACTTTAAGTGAGGGAGAACATCTTTGTTAACCCCCTTCCCAGCGCCAATCCTGGACTAATAATTCGATCTTCTTAACATGACTGTGATTGAGTCAAGTGGCGTGGTTTCGATTCCCCGCTTGTACGGGGCAAGGAGTAGCATCGCCTGACGAACCTTTTTGCTTTTCTCCATGTCTTTCGGTTTCATCCAACTGCTAAAGACCCCGATTCCCCGCTTGTACGGGGCAAGGAGTAGCATCGCCTGCCGAACCTTTTTGCTTTTCTCCGGGTCTTTCGGTTTCATCCAACTGCTAAGACCCCTACGCAAAAGCGAATAATTGAAATAAAGTCGAACCATATATTAGTCTCGAAATGAACTAGTTTGTGTCAAGTGGACGTTACCTCTCTCTCTCTCCCTTCCTCTCAATATAACTGCTTGTATCATCGATTATTTCATAACGACTTGCATAAACGTAATATCATTATCATGTGCTATTTTATAGTTCCTTCACTTCCAGGAGAAGCCTGAAGTATGGTCGACATATGGACATCGTTTTAATTTTGTGCACGCGATGACCATTTGACGCAGAGTTAGATCATTCACATTGTCTGTAAATATGGTAAATTTAGGTTACAATACGCGGTGCCATAAAGTTCACAGGATTTAAACTTTAGACACAAGTCTTAGAATTAAAAAAAATAAGCTTTTAGACTCCATTTTCTTTCACACTCAAAAATAAGTTAAAACGAAAATGAGATGAAATAGGGTTTAATATCCTACTTTTTTGAACGATCATTAGGGGACTTTTGCCCAAAACTTCAACTAATTCCAACTGCCAAACCCTCCTTTACGTGCACACGGACGTGTACACGGAACCGCCGTTTTTCACACGATTAGATGCCGTTCCTTAGCAGGCCCTCTGTCCAACATCACTGACAAATGGACACCACGCAGAAAAATCATGAGGTATTTACTTTTAAATAAATGCCTCATGATTTGTCTGCGTTAAAACTAACACCCTGCTTGAACCCCAGTTGTCGAGCAAGCTCCTTAACCACTGAACCATCGTGGTTCATATACAATGTGTGTTTACATGTCAGTCTAAAGTTACGCATTGCATTCACATTAATGTTTCTATTTTATTTCCAGGTTTAGCTGAACTATCCTTTGGCTACCGTTCTCAGTACAGCTTCAGTTCCTGGTCATCAAGAGGGAGCCCTGGGTATGGATATAATTCTAAAGGACGACAACCAGGCTTTGGTGGTTTTGGAAGCTTTGGGAGTCAAAATGGAGGCATGTCAAATTACAGAACTAGTCAGAGGTATAGCTCATTAGCTACTGCCTCTGCGCGATCGTCTTATTCCAGTAATGGTGCAAGGGCTTCGGCAGAAGCTTCCGCTTCCGCATCGGCATCCGGTAGTTCGGCTTCGGCATCATCGAAGGCATCGGCAGGACAGCCACAAGGTAGGTCGGTCAATGTTTTCATTATGCGTAACTGGCATATGCAATTGAAGAGCTCCGGGGAAGAACGATCTAAGTCACCTTTTCAATGAACCCCAGTTAATGACGCCACCTGGTAGCAAATTGTAGCAAATTTCTGTGGTACAATCTATTTCAGATAAAAATGATCGGAGTCACATCGAACCAAGGCCCTTCTGAAATGGCCTCCCGGACAAATACAAGTCCATCGTGCCCTTTACTAACCATAATTTGCCTTTAAAGTTAAAGTCAGTTGTACTGGTAATTATGGTTCGTATTAAACATCATTTTGAAGTTGTAATTAAACCTACTTGTTGTTCTGTTCGCGTTAAACATTCTCGTCCAAAAGTCTGTTCTGCCTTTTAGATCGTTCTTCCCTTGGACTCTTCAAATATATATATAATATAATTTACTGTCCTAAAAATAACAATATACATGTAAAAACATCAGACCCTTTAAGAGTTACTAGTGATGGACAACAATTAGATCTACAATATTTACTATTGTTGGATATGATCTACATTTTATAAATATGCAATCACTTTTCAGTGCCAGGTGACAATGGAAATGGACGTAATGGTTATGATTCTTCCGCTAGCATGGTACCCCGTCCAGGCTATCAAAGACCACCACAGGCAGTGCCTAGACAAGGTACCACTAAAGGAAATGGAGGCCAACGGTCACCATTAGAGCAAGATGCTCAACAAAGACCTCAGTACCCGGATGTAGCGTCAACCAGTCAACAGTCTAATGGAAAGGGGGCACAGGGCAGTAGTCCCTACGGCCAATCTGCAGGATCAGCAAATAATCAACAAAGACTCGCCAATGGTCAAGCCGGACGGCCCCAGTACCCGAGTGCAGAATCCGACAATTCTCCATCAAGGCGAGATGCTCCAATTCCTCAAGCCGCAACCCCCTCGCCGGTAGCAGCATCACGACCTTGCTCCTCCAGCTCACAGTGTCGTTGCTGTCGATGGTCATCAAGGTAATTTCTCGATTCAAATTAAGGGCGACCTCCAATCCTCCAGTAATTGAAATCGGATATATGAATTTGTATACAATCCGTGTGGCTATTATTGATACTTCGTGTCTTTTTAAGTTATCACTTTATTATATCTACACTTTTGCGCAGGTGCCCGTGAAATCACAAAGTCTTTCATTGAGTCAAAGGACGCAGTTTCGATCCCTCGTTTGAACGTGACAAGGAGTAGGATCGCCTGTCCAACCTCGTGGGTTTTCTCAAGATCTGGTTAAAATCATGCTGTAGGTTCACGTTCACTTTTCTGCACCGAAAAGGCTAATGAAATCAGGAATGCACCATGCAGTGTGCTATGTAGGTAATGTTACCCGGATAGCGAAGTGGCCGCCTGTCGTCTTCAAATGCACGGACATTTTGTACCATCTGAAGACTACACGTTGTTCTGCATCAGTCAATAGCGGGAGCGGTGATGGAAAACGTCCTGTTTAGTGAAACAGTGTCTCATCAGTATTTGATAAATATATACCATGTTTTTACATTTCAGCCAACAAGAAACATCAACATCATGTGATAAACCCAGATATGTAATGGTTGATGTAACTGTTTGTCTAAGAACACAGAATGGTCGCTGTCTACAAACAGGCACTGAGCAACGGTTAGATATATCACACTTATTTTACGATAATCATGATATACACTATAATAATACAATGTTTGGTAAATGCTTTCATTTTCATTTGTGAGTTGTCTTCCTTGTTCAGAGATTTTTGAGATACCAAACTTATATTACGATGGCATACACAACTCGCTGGCATAATACTAGGTTTGGTAAAATTGTCTCCCTTGTTCTGGGTATGTTGTGGTAGAATTATTTTGCGATAATCATGACACACGCAAGAATAATGCAGTGTTTGCTAATGGTTCCTATTGGTCGTTTGTGGATTGCCTCCCTTGTTCTCGGGTTCATTTTTACAGTTTGAGTAACGACTGTATTACATGGCTCGGGATTATACAACACAGTGGACCCTCCATTTACTTGGTTTAATAATACATTTATTGTTTATTACTTGCAGTGTCCGTGTGTGGCGCGCCTTGTCCGCGGGTCTGTCGTCTCTGCTGGGTTTATGATTATATGTAATAGAAATTAAATATAGATTAAGATATGCATCTGTTTCTGAAGATTATTCTCTCCGTTTTAGTTATCATTTGTGTCTTTGTTATGTTTTTCAGGCAACAACAAAGCGGCACTGAACGCGGTACGTGTTCCTCTACTTTGACATCTCGACAATGTGCTTCCTGCTGCCCACAAGTTTCTTTTTCATTTACTTGTTCACCAGCCCAGCCATCTTCTCGACCATCTCCCAATGGCTATCCGCGACCTGAAGACAGGCCAGCTGGTGCCTCCGACCGGCAACCTGGTGCCTCCGACCGACAACCTGGTGCCACCGACCGACAACCTGAAGATGATAGACGACCTGGTCAAACACAGTATGGAGGTCAACCAGATGATTCTCGACGCCCTGATTCGACAGGCTACGGGCGGCAACCGGAAGATACTAGACGCCCTGATGCGACAAGCTACGGGCGCCAACCGGAGGATTCCAGACGTCAACCTGAAGTTGACCAACGCCGGCAAGAGGAAGATAGTCGCAGACAAAGGGAAGAGCGCGAACGGTTAGAAAAACAGCAACTTGAGGCTGAAATGGAGAGATACAGACAGGAATCTGAAAGAAACAGGCAGCAAGAATCGGAACGACAAGCAGAATTGGAAAGACAGAGCCGAGAAAATGAGGTGATGGAGAGACGACGTCAAGAAGAACAGCGACGACAACAAGCGGCGGAGCGGCAACGGCTAGAAGGCAATATGGACAGTCAAAGGGACTACCAACAACGACGTCAAGAAGAACAGGACAGAATTCGACAACAACAAGAAAATGAGAGGCGACGTGCACAAGAGGAGGCAGAATTTGAAAGACTAAGACAAATGCGATCGGAACGAGAAAAACAGGCGAGTCAAAATAATAGAGGTGGACAACAAGTCGGATCAAGTCTGTCTGGACAAAACGGGGCACAACCCAGTGGCGCTTCTCGGCCTACAGCTGATGCAGGGGAGTCAAGTAAACGCGAATCACAATACGCCTACTCCTCCAATACCAAATCTAGCTCTAGTTCCAGTTCAAATGTACAACAAAGTGGGAGAGAGACTGTTACAAACCAAAGGGCTCCTGTAGATTATGGGCGACGAAATGGATACGGTCAAAACGGCGATAGATCCAGTTACCAGCCCAGCGCTGAGATTGATAGACGAAATGGATACGGTCAAAACGGCGGTAGATCCAGTTACCAACCCGGCTTTGAATCTGATAGACGAAATGGATACGGTCAAAACGGCGATAGATCAAGTTATCAACCGAGCGCTGAATCTGGTGGACGAAATGGATACGGTCAGAACGGCGCTGCATCTGGTTCTACAAATGGAAATCGTTACCCAACAGGACAAGCTTCGCAGCGTGGAACCCCACAATGTTGCACTTCTGCTACACCCAGTAGATCAGGATGTTGCGTTTCGTTCTCCGTTAACTTTAGACCAAGTTGTTGTTCTTCACAAAATGGCGAGCCCTCAATAAATCAGCCACCAAGTTACCAGCAAAATGGAAGGAGATCCCCAAACACCATGGCATATAATCCAAGTCGATCACGTAAAGAGAGGTCTCATCCAGAAAATCCGAGAGAGCAATATGGTCAAAGGGCAGGATATCCAAGTCAATACGCACCCGAGGAGGAAAAGGCTGGATATGGAATTCCCCAGTCAAGTTCCAAGGGTGAAAAAGCAGGATATCCAACGCCCGCACCAAGACTAGAAAAGGCGGGATACCCAAGCCCCCGACCTGCTCCAAGGCAAGAAAAGGCGGGATATCCAAGCCCCCGACCTGCACCAAGGCAAGAAAAGGCGGGCTATCCAAGCCCTCGACCTGCTCCGAGACAAGAGAAAGCGGGATATCCAAGTCCCCAACCTGCACCTAGCCAACAAAAGGCTGGATACCCAAGCCCCCGACCAGAAAAGGCAGGATATCCAAGCCCTCGACCTGCCCCTAGACAAGAAAAGGCGGGATATCCAAGCCCCCGACCTGCACCAAGGCAAGAAAAAGCGGGATATCCAAGCCCTCGACCCGCCCCAAGACAAGAGAAAGCGGGATATCCAAGTCCCCAACCGTCACCTAGACAGGAAAAGGCTGGTTATCCAAGCTCCCAACCAAGAGAAGAAAAGGCGGGTTATCCAAGTCCCCAACCTTACCCAAGAGGAGAAAAGGCTAGTTATCCAAGCCCACAACCGGCTCCACGAGAAGAAAAGGCTGGATACCCAAGTCCCCAACCAAGGGAAGAGAAGGCCGGATATCCAAGTCCCCAACCTTACCCAAGAGAAGAAAAGGCTGGTTATCCAAGCCCACGGCCTGCTCCAAGAGAAGAAAAGGCTGGCTACCCAAGTCCCCAACCAAGGCAAGAAAAGGCCGGATATCCAAGTCCCCAACCCTACCCAAGAGAAGAAAAGGCTGGTTATCCAAGCCCACGGCCTGCTCCAAGAGAAGAAAAGGCTGGCTACCCAAGTCCCCAACCAAGGCAAGAAAAGGCCGGATATCCAAGTCCCCAACCCTACCCAAGAGAAGAAAAGGCGGGATATCCCAGTCCACAGCCTTACCCTAGAGAAGAAAAAGTTGGTTATCCAAGTCCCCAACCCTACCCAAGAGAGGAAAAGGCGGGATATCCCAGTCCACAGCCTTACCCTAGAGAAGAAAAAGCTGGTTATCCAAGTCCCCAACCCTACGAAAAAGAAGAAAAGGCTGGATATCCAAGTCCCCAACCTTATCCAAGACAAGAAAAGGCTGGATATCCAAGTCCCCAACCTTATCCAAGACAAGAAAAAGCTGGCTATCCAAGTCCACAACCTGCTCCACGGGAAGTAAAGGCTGGTTATCCAAGCTCCCAACCTTATCCAAGACAAGAAAAGGCGGGATATCCAAGTCCCCAACCAAGGGAAGAAAAGGCTGGATATCCAAGTCCACAACCTGCTCCAAGTCAACAGAAAGCAGGATATCCGAGTCCACAGCCTGCATCAGAAAAGGCTGGATATCCAAGTGCTAGTTCTTCATATGGAAATGGTTACCCAAGTTCCCAGTATGGAAATGGTTACCCAAGATCCCAGTCAGGAAATGGCTACCCAAGATCCCAGTCTGGAAATGGTTACCCGAGTTCCAATGGTTACCCAAGTTCTCAGTATGGTAATGGTTACCCAAGTTCCCAGTATGGAAATGGTTACCCAAGTTCCCAGTCTGGAAATGGTTACCCAAGTTCCCAGTATGGAAATGGTTATCCTAGTTCACAAAGCGGGAGAGAAAGGTCTGGGTATCCAAGTTCTAGCTCATATGGAAATGGTTATCCTAGTGTCAGTTCACAGTATGCAAATGGAGGTCAAAGGACTGGATATCCAAGTTCCGGTTCTCAATATCAAAACGGAGCCCAAAAGGCTGGATATCCAAGTCCCAGCTCCCAATATCAAAACGGGGGACAAAAGGCTGGATATCCAAGTGCCAGTTCTCCATATGCCAATGGCGGGCAACAGGCTGGATACCCGAGTTCCTCATCTGATAATGGAAACAGGGGACCCAGTTCCTTAGGTGCAAATGGAGAGCGAAGTTCAAGTTCAATTTATGGAAATAGATATCCGAGTCCTAGTTCACAATATGCAAACGGAGGACAAAATGGAGGACAAAAGGCTGGATATCCAAGCCCCAGTCAAAGTGGTGGACAAAAGGCTGGATACCCAAGCCCCAGTCAAAATGGAGGACAAAGGGCTGGATACCCAAGTCCCAGTTCACAGTATCAAAACGGGGGACAAAACGCGGGATATCCAAGTCCGAGCTCCCCATATCAAAACGGAGGACAAAAAGCTGGGTATCCAAGCCCCAGTCAAAACGGGGGACAAAAAGCTGGATATCCAAGTCCAAGTTCCGAATATCAAAACGGAGGACAAAAAGCTGGGTATCCAAGCCCCAGTCAAAACGGGGGACAAAAAGCTGGATATCCAAGTCCAAGTTCCGAATATCAAAACGGGGAACAAAAGGCTGGATACCCAAGTCCCAGTCAAAAGGCTGGATATCCAAGTCCCAGTCGAAACGGAGGAGAAAAGGCTGGATATCCAAGCCCCAGTTCACAATATCAGAACGGAGGACAGAATGGCGGATACCCATCCCTAAATTCACAATATCCAAGTCGAAGCTCGCCATATTCCGGTGGACAGAACGGGGGATACCAAAGTTCCCAGTCCTCCAGTTCATCCTATAGAAATGGGGCGCAACAATCTCGGTATTCTAGCAGCCAACAAAGCTCTCGGTATTCTAATGGAGGATATCAAAGTTCGCGAAATGGAAATGGGGGTGCTTCCCAAACTTATCCAAGTCAGCAGTATGGAAATGGAGGACAACAGTCTTCGGTCGCGTCTTCTTCGTATTCAAATTGTTGTGCTTCATCATCTCGGGTGCGTGACAGTTGTTGTGGATCGACGAGGATGATGGGTCTATCTGCGAGTTGCTGTTCCACGTCCAATGGCGGTATGACCACCAGACCCAACTGTTGTTCGCCATCGGCTTCTATGACAATGTCCTGTTGTTCCAGTTCTGGCTTCGGTGGAAACTGCTGTTCGAGATCCAGTCAAGGATCCAGGTCCAGATCGTGTTGTGGTTGATAGACAAAGACGTTATTAATTCTACTAGCTTTTTACCATTAATTTAACTGTTGTCATGTACATGTATGTTTGTATGAAAGCCCATGATTATGTGAAGGGTATCATTCTTTCCCTGACAATTTTTATTTTTATATAATTATTATTATTAATATATACTTCTATTTGTTAAAATGGAGACGGTTTTGTAATTATACGTATGTTCAAATATCCATTATGTCTTAGTTTGATTTGTAATCGGTGACTCAGTGGGTATTGACTGAACACCCCCCCCCCTGGACTTCGCTGTCTGGAAAGCGTCTAGTATTGGCCGAAGATCTATATACATCACTGTCATCATGATAACGATCCCTAGACAGCAGGACAATTCCCATTATGTGGAGGTTAATTTGCAACAAGGGCAGAATCCTGGAAAGCGTCTGGTCGTTCGCAGGGGGAGAGAAAATGAAGATTCATCTACTTCACTGCCACCACGGTTCCCTGACAATAGGACAATTCCCGTTAGGTCTTAGTTTGATTATAACAAAAACAGGAGCTTCCAAACTGGCTTCCCTTTGTAGTAAGGAAAGGGTTCTGGCAAGGACGGGACATCTGGTATTTTGGAAGAGACTGAAAATCTAGATCCTTCCGTGGGCCTTGGCAGTTGGGTTGGGATTCTGTGAAGAGTAGGCTAAAATGACCCATAGCACAATGCATAGCTTATACCCGTCTTCATTACCACTGTTAGGATAACTAGAATTTATATCTATCCGGCAATAAATATGTTGGTGGCGCGGTGCGTATTACGCAACTACCGGGTTCCCCTGGATCACTCTCAAGGATGTAGCGGGTTCCAGTATGGTTTCACCTTGTCATACGGTGGGTCCTACATCGGTACAAAACGGTGGGCCCTACATAGGTACATGACGGTAGGTCCTATATAGGTACACGGCGGTGGGTCCTACGTTGGTGCATGACGAAGGGTCCCACATAGGTGCATAGATGCATGACGGAGGGTCCTACATAGGAAAGTCATTCGAATGGTTAAAGCAAATCAAGGACTCCATTAACTGCAGGTTAAAGATCCCCTATGACAAAATTCCCCCATAAACACACTTAAGAATTCTGAATGGTGCAGAAACGTAGGACGGAGGGCCCTACACAGGAAAGTCGTTCGAATGGTTAAAGAAAAAACAAAGTCCCATGTTTTCCATTGACAGAACGTTAAAGATCACCCTTGACAAAATTTCCCCCATAAGACTCTTCAGCATCCCGGTTGGTGCTGAAAAAGAGGACGTTCAACCCTATATGCTTTCCTGAATGGTTTGAGGCAGTATGTGCTTATGGAACACCCGGCTTTACTTTTCGTTTAATAAGATCAAAATTTGTGTTGTAGCTTTTTACCCCCCCCCCCCCCTTGTCGGTGATGCAAAAAAAAAAAATACCCGTTTATACATTGACATGCACGTACAAGACCCCTTGGCAGTTGGAATTCGATATAAGAGCAGGCCTTAGCGCCGCTGTCCGGGCAAAATGTCCCTCGTATGCCCTTCTTCATTAGCCCAGTCGGTGCAGAAAAAAGCATGAGGTTAAACCCCATTTCATTTCTGTTCGTTTTATTAGTTTAAACATATTTTATTGACAAATATCAAAAGGATTGAGCACAAGTTTCAAAAACTTAGAAAAGCCCTTTCCATACATATAAATGATAGACAAAATTTAATACAAACAAGATTGCGAAATAGTATATAGAATAATAAATAATTTACAAGTAATATAAGTAAAGTCAGATGAATTATATCGCAAAGCTCTATATAAAATAAGTGAAGAGGTGATAAAGAGAATATAAAATTATATTTAAAACATTGAAAAATAAAGTTTAATAAATGGGATATAAATGAACTGTTCCATGTATTTTAAAAAAAAAAAAAAAAAAAAAAAAAAATTGTTTGTTTGTATTAACCTTTGTCGTTTTATTGACAGAGATTATATTGTCAAGTCTGTTGGTGGGGCCATTTGCATACGAAAAATATAGCTGTTGGAAAATTCTGATAACATGACGTCTAAACTTTAACCCCATCTCCAACCCTAGCCAATGAAACTCGCCACAAAACCAGTTTGACCTTTGCTCAGCAGCAAATTTAAATAATGCATACTAATGTGATTGGTTAATACATTTTCAAAAATGCTATGCGGGGAATTTTGCATGGATTGCAATTTATGTGCCAGCGTGTACACCAACCCTCTTTCTCTCGTCCCAACCGAACGTCTAGGCCGTGTTACTTAGCAGCCCCCACCCCTCCAAACCACTGACACAAGGGAAACCCACTCGAAAGCCTTACTCACTGAACCATTGTGGCTACCTATTTAATTTAGAAAAAATGCTATGCGGGGAATTTTGCATGGATTGCAATTTATGTGCCAGCGTGTACACCAGCCCTCTTTCTCTCGTCCCAACCGAACGTCTAGGCCGTGTTACTTAGCAGCCCCCACCCCTCCAAACCACTAACACAAGGGAAACCCACTCGAAAGCCTTACTCACTGAACCATTGTGGCTACCTATTTAATTTAGAAAAAAATATGAATTAATACACCTGTTGTTTAGAGGAAATTGGCACCACTCCAATACTAATACTCTCAACAAAACCTAAATACCACACCAGAACAAGAGGGTTAAACCGTTCTATGTGTGAGTTAGTTGTATTTTACGTCCGCTTCCACCGAGGTGATATCGCAATTCCATAGCCCTATTTATCTGCCGGCTCAATTCCTTCACAAAGTCATCTTCAATTGCCTTGGTTTGTAGCATCACCCACGGTCTCGGGAGGGGGTAGGGTCTTAGTAATGACTCGGGATTTTCCACAGTCTGATTTGCCCTTGTCGGTGATGCACGGTGATGACCCTGGCAAGGAAAGGCGCAAAGTCGTTCGCATGGGAGCAATAACTGATGTACCCGTTGAAGTGCTTGTACAAAAACTTGAAGAGTATAGTCAAGTGGAAATGCCGGTGCCCGGGCAAAAATTCACTGCATGACGTGTATCAGTTTTCTTTAGCAAGGCAAGTGCAGAACAGTAGGACGTTAAACCCAATTTAATTTCATTTACTGTGAGGTATGTGTGCTTGTGGTAATACCCTTTCTTAATGTTGATTAGTGTGTGGTTACTTTGATATCATGAATTGCGGTTTAACGTCCTACTGTTCTGCTCCGAACTGGGCTAATGAAGATGGACATACCCCTTGCAATGTACTATGAGGGACATTTTGCCCGGATAGCGACACTACGGCCTACTCTTATATGAACTGTTATGGATTATTTTACGTACACGCCAATGTGAACACGGGACCTCGGGTTTTCGTCCGATCCGAATTTGTCAAGTCCCCGTCGAAACACTTTGGTTTATTTTGCTGGAAATGAAATGCAATGAAATGGGGTTTAACGTCCTACTTTTCGGCTCCTAAACTGGGCTAATGAAGACGTGCATACCCCATACAGTGTGCTATGAGGGAAATTTTGCCTGGGCAGAGGCGCTACGGCCTACTCTTCTATCGAATTCCAACTGTCAGGAGATCTTTTACGTGCATGCCACGTGCTGGAGTGAATACATCAAATGGTTTCAGGGATATAATTGAATGCTATAACATATACCCATCATAATTGTAACTGTTCTATATATTTTGGAATAACCAAAACTGATGACAAACAACGAAGCCACACCCACTCACTTACACCAACTATTTTTAATTAATTAAAACTAAACGGGGAAATCTTTATGGCTTCAAGAGTATAACTGAACAATAAAAGGAGAAATTATAAACTAAAGCCTTTATACTTGTACGTAAGTTTAAATAATATCTTTGATTAATTGAAATAAAATTAAGACAAACAATGAAGCCACACCCACTTACTTCAACAGATTATTTTAAATTAATTACAAAGAAACAAATCTATATGGTCCAATTAATTGATTAGAGAAAAAACCAAGTTTGCTAAAAACGATATAATCGACATTAACCACGTGATATGTTTGCAGCCATTTTGCTTTGAAATCAATCAAGTCTCGAATGATTTAAAGATTTGTTCATTATTACTATCTCAGAATTATCGTGTTTAATCTTCTTACAACATCTATAGGATTAGAATCATCCATCAGTCACCGTAGTTTGAACACTAGGAAGCTAAAGAATATATATTGATAAGAGTTTTTTCTATTACATTGATTCATAGTTCGGTAATTCGTATTGAGGAGGAGATTAATAGTTCGGCAATTCGGGATTATAATAATTCACAAATCAAAATTATAGCTCGGAAACTTTGTTATTACTAAAAAAATCTATAGGATTAGAATCATCAATCGGCCACCATAGAAGGAATTCATATTGTTGACAGATTGTTTTTACTTGGTCAAACCAGATATGAATACGTGTGTTTAACAGTTCGGCAAATCGTGATTGGAAACAGAAAAACAACTCTTTTAAATAATTCGTGTATTTTTACTATAATGGAGAGATCAGAATCCCAATTAAGGTTGGTGGATAACGAGCAGTTGGAACAAACAGGTGAGTTACTGAACTGGCGTGTTCAGGAATTTGAGCAGCGGGGATGGGGTTCCAAAGGTGGAAACAATTTAAAGTTTGACGTGAGGTCTGGCGGGTTAATCGAGAATTTTTTATAAAATCAGAAGCCCAGAGACGGTGTAAAAGAAAGATGGAGGTTGCAGGGTATTATTTACCAGAAATGAAGGAGGCACAGAGGCTCAGAGAGAAAAAACGCTGGCCCGATAGTCCCGGGTTCGCTCCAGGTGTTATACGAGACGGTTCCTCTGGATCTTCAGACGTGCCCCCCCCCCGCACCTTTTCAGTGGTACCAAACGGGATGTCTGACAAGGAACAGTGTATAGTCGTTCGGATGGAACGAAAACCCGAAGTGCCATGTACAGAGTAGCGTGCATGTAAAATAACCCTTAACAGTTGGAATTCGAAATAAGATTAAGCAGTATCGCAGCTGTCCCGGCAAAATGTCCCTTGTAGCAAACTGTATGGCGTATACCCGTCTTCATTAGCCCAGTCGGTGTAGAAAAGTAGGACGTTAACCCCATATCATTTCATTTAATATCTTTAACTTTTATTCAACTTAATTATAGTTTATGGAGAGGGTGGCAATTTAATTTGTATTAAGTACATATATGACATTGGTGTTCCTTATTTTTCTATATAGGAGAATC